GCCTCAAACATCACATAACAAGACCCCAAGTACAGAGGTTATCTCGATCATAAACACACTCTCTGGTGATAGCAAGAATACTGTCTTTGTTGTAAGTGGAAGAGGAAGAGATAGTTTAGGGAAGTGGTTTTCTCCATGTAAGAAACTTGGAATTGCTGCTGAACATGGTTATTTCATGAGGTATGTTTATCTTCTTCTTCTTCTTCTTCTTCTTCTTCTTCTCCCATTTAGTGCTTCTTTAATAGGTGCACCTACTTCAAACTTGTGGATTTTTCAGGTGGTCTAGTAATGATGAGTGGGAAGTTTGTGGGCAGAATAGTGAATTTGGGTGGAAGGAAATAGCTGAGCCTGTTATGAAATTGTATACAGAGGCTACTGATGGCTCCTCTATTGAATCCAAGGAGAGTGCCTTGGTCTGGCACCATCGAGATGCAGACCCAGGCTTTGGGTCTAGCCAGGCTAAGGAGATGTTAGACCATCTTGAGAGTGTATTAGCAAATGAACCAGTTGCTGTGAAAAGTGGCCAGTTTATCGTTGAAGTGAAACCTCAGGTATCTGGATAACTTTGGTTTTGACTTTCTGTCTTCATAAATGCATTATCCTGTCTTTAATGTATTTTCAGATAATCTTCTTCTACACAATACATTCAAATTGGTTTGACATGTTGCAAACTAATTTCTTCTTTCCTTTATTCGTAATTCCAACATTTTGAAGTATGCTTAATGATTATGAAAATATTAGCTTTAATATTGTTTTTCAACTTTCTCTTTTGATGGAAATGTAACAGATTACTTTGCCTTACTCCTGAGCTTAGGCAGTAACTTAGTTACATCTTAGGTTACTTTGATGGCAGTATTTTACAATAAGAGGAAATTGTACATCTGTTCCAATTAGGCTAAAAAAAGCATAAAAATAGAAATAAAATAAGTAAATCTCCTGAATATAAAGCCATTAGTTTTGGGGTACTATTAGTTGGTTATTTGTGATTCAATGACACTGATTTTGTTGATTGGATGAATGCATGATGTTAATTAACTTTTTAATTTGCCTCTAGGGAGTCAGTAAAGGTGTGGTCGCTGAAAAGATCTTCACAACCATGGCCGAGGGTGGAAGACAGGCTGATTTTGTTCTTTGCATTGGCGATGACAGATCTGATGAGGAGATGTTTGAGATCATCAGTAGTGCAATTTCGAATGATGTCCTCTCCTCAAGTACATCTGTTTTTGCCTGCACAGTTGGTCAGAAACCTAGCAAAGCCAAGTATTATTTGGATGACCCAGCTGAGGTTGTAAACATGCTCGAAGCTCTTGCAGAAGCTTCAGACCCTGAACCCTTAACAGATACTGGATCAGAAGGCTCCCTTTGAAATATCTTCCATGGCTTTATTTTAAATTTTGGGCCTGTTATCCTTTTGGCTGGTAGGGATGAATGCCATACCTGATCTGTGATGAAGGTAGATACCATTTTATGCCTGGTTTGGAAGTTGTCCGTTGAAAAGGACATTCTGTGGCCTTCTGTCTGATTATTTGGCCATTGAGACATATAGACGTGTAGAATTTTTCACATGAACTCTGAAAGGGAATAGTTAAAGAGGACATGCTGGGTTGATTCGTGGAGAGAGACTTGGAAGTGAAAGAAATCCATCAAATAACCCTTTAACAATCACATGCATGAGAACGGTTACCAAGCCTTCCTTTGTGCAGTCATAACATCAGTTGGTGTAGATGGTGTGTATTCAGTTGCAGTACAACCAGATAAGAATATCATTAATTCCGCAAAGATCAAGTTCTTCTGGTGGTGGTTACACTAGCAGGTGGTGTCAGCTGGTTCAAAAGTCGTCCTGTTGAATGAACATATATAATTTTCATTTCTCCCCCATTTATTTTTTTTAAGTGAGTTTGTTTTTTTTTTTTAATCCTTTCCATTGGATCCATTCCTTCTCATTTATTGAATCTGTAAATTTTATAGAAACATTGCAACTAGTTTTTCAATGCTTTCATTCCATTGGAAACTGACTGTTGGATGCAGAGAGGGATTTACAACGGCTGAAGACCTTGAAACTTGTTGGTAGAATTATGTAAATACCACAAGTTCTTTAAGAAATGTTTTAATTTTGCTTCGCCTGGATTCAGTTGGTATTCCATGTTAAACTTAACAACGTTGTACGTTCTTCTTCAACTTAAACGGTTAACGAAAACAAATTTCGTTTAGTGGGTATACCAGTGTTCTTTCAAACTTGATTGCTGATAAATCAATAGATGAAGTTTTCACTGTTCAATTAAAATATGAAGTGAAATCAGAAGTGGAAACTATTAAGTAGGATTAAATCGTTCAATCAAAAATAAAACAATCTTGGAAGTGGAGGAACAAATTTGTTTTTGAAAATGGTTTTCCCCGGCCATCTAATGTTTTTCAAACAATCCTGGCCTCTATTAGGGGTTTCATGAGTTACAAAGCCATTAATCATTGTTCTTTCCCTAAGCAGATTCGTTATATTGCTTGGTAGCGACCTTCGATGGGCGTTGTTAAACTAAATGTGGATGCTGCCGCTAAAACGACTCTGGATCTATTATCTGCAGGAGGTTTATGCAGGGACAGTCGAGGTGGTTGGCTTTTTGGGTTCACCAGGAGATTGGACCGTGGCTCTATTATTAAAGCAGAACTTGGTTGTAGGAATATAATCCTTGAATTTGATTCAATGTTAGCAGTTCAGAAAATCTTGTAATCACTAAATGACGAAGACCCACTCCATCAAGTGATTCATAAGCGTCAAAGTTTTTTGAAACGTGTGTCTAGAGAAGCAAATTTTTGAACTGATTTTTTTAGTTTGGCTGAAGACAGGGAATTTGAAATTTAGTTGCTTCATTTTTTTCCAGATGATTTAATTTAGTTTTTACATGATGATCTTATAAATTTGCCTAGACCACGAGCCTCTGTAATGTAAAGTGGGTAACCACTCTTTCAGTAAAAAAATAATAATAAAACACGCATGAAAACTCAGTCATGTAAATACTTTGTTCTTAAATTTTAGGCTACAGATGCCAAGACCCTGAGAACATCGGGAAGCACCGAGGACCACCCCATTGTGCCAGACAGAAATTTGATAGGTCAATAATGTGATGATTGATGCGCCCATCTTCGGCTCTCAAGGCCCAAAGCATCCAGGCCATTATGGAGATTTTTAATTTTTAGGCCTTAATCTGCTGCAGGTTGCTGACGGGCACATCGGGCAGAGTCTAGAATTCTAATACTAGACTCAATGAATAATGTCTTACAAAGGAAAATACATTTTTGGCTGTTGCACAAGTTCCCTTGTCTTTTTATTTTGGTGAGACGAGTTATCTGAAGAATCGTGTTTCCAACATAATTATACCAAACTAAAAGATACATGTTTCTCCATCGATGTGAACTAAGGCAAAAGGGGGTCCAATCTCAAACGGAGATGGGTCCCTGGGGCTGGTCCAGTGGCCCAACAAATGAAGTGACATGAAACTGCCAAAACAGCTTGGCAGCTTGGCCTCATAGATGCCGGCCTATAATCTATAAGTGCCAAAATTCATTTTCTATATTTGGAATCAATCAACAACTACTATTTATTTCTTGATTACAGCCAGACCGAAACTGTCACACTCGCCTACGGCATTTAAGAAGAAATCAGAAGTTTTAAGACATTGTCTTATTTAACCTTCATCTCATATTCCTTTGTTTGCATCTTCATTTTGCTCCGGTTTAGTTTTTTTTCCTTGGATCCTGATTATCACATGGCTTACAGTTCCCTGAAGTTTAGAAACAAGTTATCTCCTTGGATGCTTTGATATATAACAGCTCGTTAATTAGACAAAGTCTGATGGATTATACTTACTACAACCATTGTTGTATTTTACAAGAATATGTGTCGTCTTGTTAATTTATTAATAGAATTTAAAAATTATATTAAAATTGAATGAGATATTTTTCGGTTATACATAAGAAAGTAACAGCATTTTTCATTTTAACAACGAAGGTTTCTTTCATTTTTTCTTTTCTTTTAAATTATTTGGAAGTTCTCTAAAGTGCTTAATGGTGCTAGCATTTGCTGAAACTGTCCTGACAATTTAGATTATGTTTAACTAATCGAATCAATATGAGAATAATCAACAGCTGTACTGACTATTGAAGTGAAGAAAGGGTACAAATTGAAGGATGTTGAATGAATTAATTACTAGTAATCATGTCCTCTCCTGCAAAGACATATTCAATAAGCATAAAACGATGAAATCTTGTTTCCTGCAAACAATTATTGTAGAGTGGTTGTCTCGAAAACCAAAATCCAAAATTATATATGTCAGTTTAAGGACTCTATCGTTCATGTCTGGATGCACACAAACCATAGCTAAAATGTTACATCAGAATCTGGTAAATTTTTCATAGCAGGGCCCGTGAACCATTGCTCAGTTTTTGTACATAAAGCCGAAACGCGGTTTCCTTAGAGATCATGGCATTTCATGGCTGCTAAGTATTCAGTTTTTGGCCCAACATCGTTTCACCACAACAAGAACAACTAACCAAAACAACTACAACCAGTCTCAGTTTTTTCCTTTGCCCCTGATTTTTTCTCATCAGCCTAGCTGCTGAAAAGAGAGCACCAAAAGTCAAATTTGTTCATTTAAGAAAACAGAGGTTTACGTCAAAATAAGACATTTGATGTGAAATTTTGCCTTAATCAGGATTAAGGAGACAGTAAATAACCCAAAAGCTGAACTGTCATTTCCCAATCTTAGGAATATGAATATGTAAATACATTGACAGATATATATTAAATATTGGGATTGTTCATGCATTACAGCAAAGGCTATCATAGCCTTCATATTTGTTTTAAAAATATTTATCCAATGCAACTTGCAATTCATGTCTCTGATTTTTTGGGCATATTAACATTACAAAATTGCATTATATATTACTATTACAATATTATATTAACAGAGAACTTTTTTTTTTTTTTCCTTCCATAACATTTTCTCTTTATCATAAAACTAATTGTTTTAAATAAAAAGAAAAAGAAAGAACCTACTCCCCCACAACCGAGCTGCACCTTCTCTTTCTCTTTGGTCCAGTTTGGGCTGTGGGCCCAGATGCTATAGCTAATAGCCACTGCTAATCCACAGACCAAAATTCACGCGCCACTTTCACGCGCTGCTTTGTCTTCCCTATAACGTTGGAGAAAACTGCACTTCTCAAGTGGAAACTTAACTTAAAACCCACAAACCCCACTTGAAAATAGCACTAAGCTCCCTCACCTCATCCCTAGCGGCGCGTGAACCGGCATGAGCGTGGATAACACCTCCCCATCATGTTTCATCTAGTGATGGAGTACTATACATTAATTATCTAAAAGAAAAAAAACAGAGATCAACGACTCACCGGAGGAGTAATCAACGGAGACAAATAAACTTGGCTTTGTATTGCAGTTTTACCAATCTTGAACCCTGGAACCACCGTGAAACAGACTCTAATATCAACATTTGCATCGTTGATTTCACTGGAAATGAGTGATTCTTCACTCACATTTTCCATGTAAACATCAGAGAATCTAGAATCTTGCTTTACCTGAAAGACTGAAACTTGTTCATGCATTGAGAATCCCAAGCAATGCAAGAGCCAAAAGCGCCTACACATCTCTGAAAAAGCTGTGAAAAATGCTGTATCCGGGAACCCACCAGCGGTAATTAGCTTCCTTTGGCTCAAGTTTCCAAAAAATGAACATTCCATTTTTGCATGGACCAGTTTGAGGTACTTGGTTCTGGTGAATTTAGCAAAAGAAGAGTTCGGATTTTGAATCAAAAAGGATTTTGGAAGTGCAGATTTCAAGTTCTTGAATCTGTTGAAATACTGCTCGGGGTCGAGCTTTTTTGAGGAAGAATCTTTTGTGAGCCCAAAATCACGGGAGTCGAAGCCTTCTAACATTGTTTTACACACAAAAGATTCAAATACAAAGCACCTGTGGCTTTGTTTTGCAAAAACAGCTCCGGGTTCGATGGTTTTAGCAGCTGCATCAAGATCCCATTTTCCTAACTCCATTTCCTTGATCATCATTTTCACAAAACTGCGAACAGATCTCAAAGTACAGTGTAAAACTTGCAGAAAATGACTTGGATTCAACGTTGTAAACTGGATATTATCAAACATTGACAGAGGCCCACTCGCGTTTAGTTTCTTCTCTAAAGACTTGTTAAAAGCAGTGCAATCTTCAAGCTGCTTATGGAGTAAAGCAATGTCTGAATCTTTTTCTTCAACATCAGATTCCAACTTCTTGATTGTGATCTCGTAAGTTCGCATCAAGCTTTGCTGTTCCTGAATCTCCGCAAGCATCATAGTAACTTGAGGTGAAAGATCAAGCTCCTTCTTTAAAAACTTGCGCTTTAGCTCTGAAAGAGTTCTGAGTTCTTCCACAACAGCTTGATCAGCAGCCTGAATAGCATCACTGTTATAAGGATGTTGAGCCATCTGTAGCTCAGCATAAGCAGCTTTGATAGAAGTAACACTAGCAAAAACCTTGGCAACCAGGGCTTCCAAAACAGCTTTTTGCTTAACCTTTGAGTCCCCATGTTTGTCAGCTGCATGGGAAGAAGTTTTGTGATCTGAGGCTGAATCATCATGTGGGAATTTATGTTGGGATGTGAGGACACAGATTCCAATCCCATTGCTTGATGCAATTTTGGTTGCGGTTCTTAGGTTGATTACTTTTTGGAAAGTTCTTGCTAGCCTGCTCTTATGGTTGCCACTGTTGTTGTTGAAAGCTGATTTAGGATTGAATGTTTCCATTTTGGAGAGATGAAATTAGAAGGAATTGGTGGGAGTGAAAATGGTTTGGGGCATGAAAAGAAAGGGCAAGATTATGGGTTATTGTGACCCCTCCAAAAGAAAATAAAGTGAATGTGATATGTTAGAAAAGCAACAAATAGAACAAATTTGGCTATCAGATTGAAGCCGGAGGTGGTGGGCTTGACAAAAATGATAAAAGTAGGATTTAAAGCTTGGGGAAAAAATATAAAGATGCAGAGGCCACGGGTTTTTCTTTCTTTTACTCCTTCAGGTTAAGAGGGGATTATAGTAAACTAGTTTCCATTCTCATTTTTCACCGAAAACCAGTACATTGCATAACGTTATCGTTTTCATTTACATTTCATTTAAACACATCTTGGATTCTTTGATTTTAAGAACGGACAGCTTTATAAAACAATGAAACATCATGTTTTCATCGATTCTTTGATTTTATAACAGCTTATAGAAACAATGAAATATAAGTTTTTTCCTTTATAGTTAAATCGTAGAGATTAAATATTGATAATTAAAATAAAAAAATTTAATAACTGTTCATGAAATATCAAATATTTTAATATGCGAATCTTCAACCTTAATACTCTTCAGGAGAGTAACAAATCTTAGATTAAATCTTCAAATACTTAAATTTCAAAGTTTTCGTTTCTAGATCTTAATAGATAATGGTTAATATATAGTAGTAGAAGAGATGATGATTGCAAGTAGGGTCAGCTTGCAAGGAAGATCAATGGTTGATGGAGCCCAAGAGTTTGAAGCATTGGGCAGAAATGGAGGTGTTGTAGTGTTTGACTGCAGGACAAATTGACCATGGCTAGGAATTAGGAGTGTATAATTCTCAGAATGCAAAGCGGGAAAAACTTTGTGAATTTGTCCAACTAAATTTTAATTTTGCTAATCAGGTGCGGTGCCAAAGAAAGAGATACTTTGAAATATTTTATTCAGCTGATATACGAAAGCGTATTTCAAATGAAATTGAAATTACATACTTATGTCACTTCGATCGTGTGCAAGTTTTAATATGTGAAATATAGCTAAATTGGTGAACGATGGTTAACAGAAGTGATAAAAGATGAATATTAAAATTAATAATAAAATACGAATTAAAAACTAAGACATCTTAAGAATAAATTGCTATTTTCTATATATATATATATATATTTAGACCTTCTAATTTCGAAAATTATTTTGAGTTTTAATTAATCCGAAATCGAATCGGAATGAATTTTATAAGAGAAATAAATTTTTTTAAATTTAAATTTTTATTCACAAAGACTCAAAATTAAAATTTTATTTTTAAAAAAATCAAATTTTTTATTACTTGGACCAATAAAATCTAATTAAAATTATATTTATTATTAAATTAAGTAAATCATTAATATTTTTTATTATTATTTAGATTGAATTAAACATAAGATCTATTAAATGACAAATGCCATTTCAGTTATAGGCTTTAAGTAATCCAGCTGTCCCCTTAAATTTGCTTGGAGGCAGCTTTAATATATTTGTTTTGAGAGTGAGTGGAGGCATCAACATTTCAGGCAGCAGTCAGTCAGCTTTGTCCATTGGGCATTGAACAAAATCAAAAAGTTACAGGATGCATGTGTTTCTCGGTGGGTCCCCAACTGAACTGAAATGTAAGGGTGAGAAGAAGAAAGTAAAAAAGTAGGAGTACCCTCAGCCTCAGCCAGCCTCATCCTCAGAGAGTACTATTCACTTTCGGACTTTCTCAAATATGGACCAGTTCACTGCTGCGGTCCTCCATGGGCTTACCATGTTGAGGGTCAGCATGTTTGATTCTGTACAGTGCCAAATGACTGTCACCCAAAATTTTTTCTTGCAGTTTCTTTGTATTTTGTTGAAGGTTTACATTTTGAAGAATATCCACAAGAATATACCAAAGACAAACTAATCATAATTTAGGAGCGAAACAAACAATTAGTATAAACAAGTTTTTTCAACAACAAAAATCGTAATTAAAAAATAAAAAAAATGTTGTAAATGTTGTTAAAAAATATAGACAATAATTTACCAAAGACAAACTAAAGATTATTTACTAGCCAAACAAACAATTAGTATTAATATGTTTTTTTTTTAAAAAGAGGTAGTAACTTAAAATTAAAAAAAAATTACAAATGTTAAATTTTAAATTTTAAATTTATCGAATATTTTTTTTAGAATAATTATATAAATTAATTAAAATAAATTTTGAATTATAATAAACTAAATAAGTCGTATGTTGGTATTTATGCAATACAGAAGACAATGTCAATCCTTGTGTTATGTTGGATGAGGAAACCACAAGGAAACTCATTAAAGATGGCATGAATGATTCAGACATTGCCAATTTGCCAGAGCTCCGTTGCATTTCTTGGTCTTAAATTTATCTTCAGGAGACCTTGAATTTTCATTTTTCAAACAATGGAAGCTTCAGCCTTGTTTGGGAGTATCATATGAAAAGAAGCTGGCACTTTAGAAAAAGAATTCACCCCATCTGACAGTCTCTGACTTTAAGTCAAATTTCTTCAATGCCAAAATGGTTTTGAGTATTTAAAACGTTGCCTTCTGATTCAGTATTTGTTAAAAAAAAAAGGCTGAGGGCAGATTTTTAATTCAATAAAAAGAGCCGAAGAAAATGATCCAAAAAGTCATGGCCGAAAGAAGATAGCGACTGTAATGTCCACACATAACTAGCTAGCAAGTTATTGAGAATTGAAATGTGGACCTGAATAAAGTTTTAGAAACATATTACAAGTGTAATTAAATTATGAAAGCTGATGCAAATACAACCAAGTACTATACTTGGTACTTTTTGGTGAGATAAATCTAGAGACATAACGAGGCAACCAGCTCAATCAATTGAGCAACCCATCCTTGACTACTATTATTTTACTTTATTTTATTTAGCTGTGGGCTATTATCTAAAACAGAATCATGTATTTAATAAAAAAATAATATAAAAGTCATAGTGATAAGTAAAAAAATTAATGTTGGGAGGAAAGGTGTTGGCTCTTTTAAGATGGTACTTCAAATTGTGCGAAACAGAACAAACTAGGATTAAAATTCTGTGGGCTTGTGAGAAATCATTGAATAGGTGAAATACCTAAGGGAAGCCGTGAATGTCAAGAAACAATCGATCAAATTATGGTTAAACACATCATTCTTTTTTGTTTGTGTTTGGAATTTGTCTAAGAAGCCAAAGCTATGATATTCATAATCTTAACCCTAATTTCACTATTTGGTTGGGTCTTCATGGGCAAGTGGGGGACCAACTAGGTCAATCATGTATTCGACATTGTTCAACAGCACGCCAAAAAGTGCTAGGTAATAAATAAATTACAAGTACTAATTTAGGAAATTAAGGTTGGCGAAGACCTCGTAATGGTAGAAAAGTTATCAAATGAATTAGTCGAGATTTGAATTTTATTACAATTTTAGTTTGATGTAGTTGAATTTATTATAAATTATAATGAGATTCATTCGATATAAATTTTTTTATAAATTTAATTTTATAAATTTTTTATAAATTTATAATATTTTTTTAATTATAACTATAATAATTTTTTTAATTACAATTAAAATAATTTTATTATTATTTTTAATCCCATCAAAATTTATCTCATTATAAACCCCAGTGATATGGTCAGGGGCCAAATACAAATATTTTTTCTAGTCTACAACATCATTAGCAGAGACAGTAGGGCAAAGCTCAAGTTCATAGTGAAAACGGGGTCTTCCAATTGGATATGGATTCATCTTTTTCAAAGTCCGTAATGATTTTTAAATTGAAAATCGAATTTTTGAAAAAAAAATTTTGAATTCAGACTCTTTGAGTAACGTAATTTATCGTTAATCCAAATGTTGATGTACCAACCAATTACTAGTTGAAATATTAAAATTTTATAAGAATGGCTCAGTTAGACAATTTATTATTTATTATTAATAAAAGACAAGGCACAATTAATAATAGCAGTCGACGTTTAATTATAATTTCTTCTCTTAAATGGTCTGGCATTTCATGTGTGGTGTACCTTAAACACATGTTCACGTCAATAAGCAAAATTATGACATTGGATGACTTTGAGATAACAATTGCTCATAGCAAATCATGACCTTGATTTAATACAGATAGAGGAGAAAGTGATATTTAGTAAAGAAATTTGTCGATTTACACTTGGTTTATAAAATATTATCTAAAAGTTTTTATTACTTTATTTAAAAAATTTTAATTTTAATTTTAATTTATATATCATTATAAAATTTAAAAAAATCTTAATATGAGATTAAATTGTTACACTTATATCCTACCTTAATTTTTTTTTCTCTCAAATTATAATTAAATTTAGAGTTTATGTTTAACAATCACGAGGAGAACTAATGTTGCTTCTTTTTTGGGCAGCCCATGGAAAACAATAATCATTTCTTGGATGGCATAGGCATGCACTTAGTCGTGGATAATCAACCAAACATATTGACATCCATCCGGTCCTACTTTCCATTTGTAGACATGCAAGGTCAAGGGGTTTATTGAAGACATGCATTTAAATATTACAATAATTTTGTTTCAATATATATATATATATGTGTGTATATATGTATAATACATGAAGCATGCGATGATCATCCAACATGAATTGTTTGTTTAATGGGAGTGTAGTGTTAAGTATTGATTTGGAGGTGATGATGATTTTAAGTTGTGGAAGTTGAGGAATAAAAAATCATGACTGGACATTATCATTGTTGTCCTGATATTATAAATATTGTCATATATAAAGTATATATGAACTGTTATACGATTAGAGAGGAAGGAATGTATAATGTCGAATGAATATGTAGGAAAATGAAGTGAATGGAAAGCAATATACACAACATAAAAAATCAATCATCAATAATTCACAAAAGAATCGAATTGATTTCGGTTTGATACATTTGAATTTAAATTATGATAACTAGACGTCTACGTAAAGAATCGAAATTAAAACATCAAATCTTTTTTTTTTTTTTTTTGCAAAGCCAAACTTTTATTGATAATTAAAAGTTGATACAAAGTAGGGCCTGAAAAACCCTTTTAGACGCCATATAACAGCCACTGTTTCTTACAGAATTCACAGCTTCTAAGGTGGGTGGAAAAGGAATATAATCTTTAGCTCCTACCCCGCTGCAATTCTATCAACCGACAATCAACACAGAGAGACTTGGGTAAATCAGTTCCTTACCACCACACTCCATAATCTTCAGCCC